ATTTATATTTCGTTTCGTAAATACAACCAAACAATCGATGGTTTCTTGAGATAACGAGTGATTATTTTTAGTGAATCAACGGTGGCTTCAAAATAGGGTTTATTTGAAAGCAAACTATAAATTGATCCCAAATTAGTGTCAATTGATTGTTCAAATGCAATACAAATACAGTTTTTGATTGTAAAAGAGATTTTAATTAAATTTGGAGACAATTGGTGTCAAAAGCGGTGATGAACTGATCCCACGTTTACATGTATTCAATGCAAAACCAAATTCAATACATAATCTGGAAATTTCTAATACAAGTCATTCACATATAATGTAATATCAATTGAAAGGGCATTATAAGAGTGAGTGAGATATTCATGGAATTAATATTAATGTCTCAAAATAGGGGCTAAAAATACAAACTTAATAATCACGTGATATATTGATGAGTAATGGGATGTGAACTGAAGACAGAGATCGAGAACTTTCGATACAATTTGTCCACAAATGACGACAAGTGATGAAGTGGTGAATGGATGACATCTGGATGTGTTGATGAGACTTAAGTTCTTAGCCTTGAATGCAGTGAATGGAAGTTCCAAAGAGTGGTGCGATCACTGGTATATCACTCGATGGCAACCCTTTCAATGCCATCAATGCACTGATCTATTGATCACACATTTGGGTCGAAGTGTACAATCAGTGCAACACTTGTCACACAGTATTTGATCCGTAGATCACTTCACCACACATTTACAGATAAGCATTGAAAATGCATTTCTTAAGCAAATTAGCCATCAATTCAGGCATTTATCCTCGAGTACAACACATGCGATACTTGTCGTCAAATGTGGTAAAAGAGTTGATATCATAAGCCATACAATGTCTGTATTAAACCATTCATTGATTAGAGGACAACAAAACTCTTCATAAATGGAAAGTTTGTGGACTCGAAGACCAACGACTGGATTGAACTTAAAAATCCTGTAAATTATGACCACTTCTGCAAACTTTTATCTCTTGGATCTGATTAAGTGATGGCTTGTGTTTAGGCAACCAATGAAGTGGTGACAAGANGATGTCTTGGACCACGTCTTGAAGGCATTATCGGCCGCATTGACCGCCGCTTCCATCTCGGCGTCGGTACTCTTTGGAACTCTTGTCACCACTTCATTGGTTGCCTAAACACAAGCCATCACTTAATCAGATCCAAGAGATAAAAGTTTGCAGAAGTGGTCATAATTTACAGGATTTTTAAGTTCAATCCAGTCGTTGGTCTTCGAGTCCACAAACTTTCCATTTATGAAGAGTTTTGTTGTCCTCTAATCAATGAATGGTTTAATACAGACATTGTATGGCTTATGATATCAACTCTTTTACCACATTTGACGACAAGTATCGCATGTGTTGTACTCGAGGATAAATGCCTGAATTGATGGCTAATTTGCTTAAGAAATGCATTTTCAATGCTTATCTGTAAATGTGTGGTGAAGTGATCTACGGATCAAATACTGTGTGACAAGTGTTGCACTGATTGTACACTTGGACCCAAATGTGTGATCAATAGATCAGTGCATTGATGGCATTGAAAGGGTTGCCATCGAGTGATATACCAGTGATCGCACCACTCTTTGGAACTTCCATTCACTGCATTCAAGGCTAAGAACTTAAGTCTCATCAACACATCCAGATGTCATCCATTCACCACTTCATCACTTGTCGTCATTTGTGGACAAATTGTATCGAAAGTTCTCGATCTCTGTCTTCAGTTCACATCCCATTACTCATCAATATATCACGTGATCATTATGTTTGTATTTTTAGCCCCTATTTTGAAACATTAGCATTAATTCCATGAATATCTCACTCACTCTTATAATGCCCTTTCAATTGATATTACATTATATGTGAATGATTTGTATTAGAAATTTCCAGATTATGTCTTGAATTTGGTTTTGCATTGAATGCATGTAAACGTGGGATCAGTTCATCACCGCTTTTGACACCAATTGTCTCGAAATTTAATTAAAATCTGTTTTACAATCAAAAACTGTATTTATATTGCATTTGAACAATCAATTGACACTAATTTGAGATCAATTTATAGTTTGCTTTCAAATAAACCCTATTTTGAAGCCACCGTTGATTCACTAAAAATAATCACTCGTTATCTCAAGAAACCATCGATTGTTTGGTTGTATTTACGAAACGAAATATAAATAAGTGGTAAGCGATGGCTAAATGGGGTGAAGGAGATCCCCGATGGATAGTGGAGGAGCGTCCGGACGCCACGAATGTCAACAACTGGCACTGGTATGTGTTGGGCACCGGTTGGTCCCATTGTGACCACTGGTTATGCAATGATTGATGCATCCATTGATTGATTGTCTCATTGATTAGGACTGAGAAGAATGCGTCGAATTGGTCTAAAGACAAGTTGAGACAATTGCTGACAAACCTGGAGGTGGATGAGCCGGGCGTTGGTTTGTGTCACATAACGAGTGTGGAGTCGATGGACGGGGAGGCGGTGGCCAACAACCGGAAGGGGAAACTCATATTCTTCTACGAATGGGTCATCAAATGTGTTTGGAATGGAAGGATTAATGGATCCGATGGTGAAGTCAAGGGTACGCTTGAGATACCAAATCTCAGCGAAGAGAACAGCGCCGACGAGATTGTGGTCGACGTGTCCTTAGACTCGGATGACTTTAATGGAGAGATACTTAAGGATGTGATGAGACACAAAGGCACAGAACTGATCCGAAAGCAAATGCAGGCCTATATATTGTCTTTAAGGGACGAGTTCGCCAGTGATATGATTAAACCATCGAAAGTGATGTCCAGCGGAAACATCAATGCATTTCAGACCGAAAGTCAGACCAAACAGAAAGCGGAGTCAACACAGCCGTCGGGAAATGCCATCAAATCTGCATTCAATAGTGTCGTCAATAAACCCAAAGACGATAAGTTTGAATTGACTTCACTTAAGATGACTGAGGAGTTGAAGTGTACGGCAGAGGACTTCTACCGGTCGTTGACTGAAATCGAGTTGATTCAGGCCTTCACCAGAGCTAACGCAGTGATGGACCCAAAGGTTGGCGGAGTGTTTCAGCTCTTTGACGGCAACATCAGCGGCCGGTTCACTGAATTAGTGCCCAATAAAGTGATTAAACAGAACTGGAGATTCAAAGCATGGCCTCCGGACCACTACTCGCAAGTGACCATCACTTTGGAGCAGAAGAGCGACTGTACGGAAGTGATCGTCGATCAGACGGGTATTCCTAAGCATGACTTCGACCGAACAGAAAACGGTTGGAAATACTATTACTTCGAAAGTCTTAAGCGAACCTTTGGTTTCGGCGCTTCACTTCACTAACACTAAACACTTTTGTTTAATTTATGTCCAAATTTAGGTCTAAATTGTCTATAAAATTGTACAGATTTTCTCATTTATTAATTTTTAAACAGATTTTTGTTTCAATCGATTGATTATTAAATTTATAATTTTTAACATACAATAATTTGTTTCAATTGTTTTACCGTATTTATTAGAAACTTATAAAATAGTCAAATAAAACTCAAGTAAAATATATTTTGCAACAAATGTATTGTCATTAAAGGCCGAAGTGTTGATCGAATTGTTGCGAAGAAATGATGCCTTTCTTGAGTTTCTTAACAATCCTCGAGTCTTCGGCCAACTCTTGCAGATCTAACTCATCGATGAATTCCTTTTTGCGCTTTCCTTTCAATTTACACTTTTTAATACGTGAAGCATTTTTTGACACCACTTTTACGGGCCTTTTATCCACCTTTTCGGACGATTCTTTTGCTAAAAAGCTTTGTTTCTTAAAGTTTTTGGCTATTCTTATATCTTCCGCACAGGTATTAAACACTGTTTTACCTCTGGGTCTGTGTTTTAATTCAGGCATAACTGGCACTTTAAGCAATGCATAACCATTGGCTAAATCATTGATATCTAACTTCTTATACAAAATACTGGACATACAGTGCTTTGAACTGTAAGTCCTAATGAATGAAACAAATGATTGCATTCCGAGTTCGTAATAATTTTGATCTCTTCTCGACTCTCTTTTCACGAAATCAATGATATTTTGTTTGAGAGTTGAGTCGACAGTAAGAGAATCGTCAAATGGATTCACTTCTAATCCCTTTGATTGCAACAAATCAATGAATTGTGTTTCATTGGGTAACGCAATGACCAGAGAATTGCCGTTAACTCCCATTTGATGAGCGCTTCGACCGCATCGGTGCACGTAATCCTCGATAGTGTTGGGCAGATCCAAGTGTAAGACCCAATCGACTTGTGGTATATCAACGCCTCTGCTCATCACATCAGTGCACAAAAGTAAACCGCTTTTGCTTTCTCTGAATTCGTCGAAAATCTTTTGTCGGCTTTTCTTTAGTTTTCTGTGAATTTTTAAAACAACAAAACTTTTGGCCTTTTTCTGAATGAATTTGGAGATGGGTTTCGAGAAGTAGTTCACTTGAGCGCAGGTAGACGTGAACACCAGGTATTTGGCGTTCAGGTCGCGCCTCACAAACTGTATGACAAACGCCAACTTCTCCTCACATGACTTGAGACACACGTAACTGTTTTGCAGAGTTTGCGGCATTTGAAGACATTCTTCGGCAGTCGACTGTTCGGTGGTTTTCTCTTTGATCTCAACTTTGACTGGATTCCGAAGACCCGCTCTAATCAATTGATCCAATTTCTTGGTTTGTGTCGCAGAGAAAAGACCAGTTCTTCGCTGTTTTGGCAAATAAGACAAAATGGTATTCAATGCGGTGTCAAACCCGAGACTAAGGATGAGGTCGGCCTCGTCTAAGACAAACACTTCCAGACATTTGCGGACACGACTGGCGAAGAGATCGCATTTGGAGAACATATCGCACAGACGTCCCGGAGTTGAGACCACTATATGGGCGCCATTAGTGGTGAACCGCTCGACATCCTGTCCCACATTTGTTCCGCCAATTAATAGCATTCCCTTCAGAGGAATGGATGGGTTGTCGACAATGAAATGGTTGAGCACTTGATATGTCTGTTGAGCCAACTCTCGGGTGGGACTCAATATAATGGCGCCGACGTCCGTGTCACTCATCTGATCACTCGTGGTTTTCCTCAACAGTATATCAATGATTGGTATCACAAACGCCAATGTCTTCCCACTTCCGGTGACGGCTCCGACGGCACAGTCTTTGTTGGCCACAAACAGAGGGATGACCGCCGACTGAACCGCTGTCATCCTCTTGAACTTCAGTGACTTCTTTATGACACTGACTATGGCTTTGTTCACATTCAACGACTTCCACGACAAAGACATTGTCCTCTTCACTGATTGTCTGGTTTAGTGACAACTCTTCTGATGTCAGGTTTTGTGGTCACAAACGTGTGGTTTGCGAAACACGTGACCAATGAATGCATGCAATACTTGATGAGTACACACATAAACAACACTACAAAACGTGCATATGTTTGACAAATGAAATTAAGTTGCAGTTATGCTGGATAATATTCATAATTTACTGCATATCCATAGAGTTTAATATCTGCATAGAGATTAAATAGAGTTTATTAAATTATTCATTAATATAATTGAAATTTAATATAAATTTTTGAATTAATTTATATCTCTATTTAGTCTCAATTAGACTACAATATTTTTTTTATAAAACTTTAACATAGTAAAGTACGGGTATCATTTTACATGCACTGAAGCTAGAAACTAGAACGAGCTTGATAATTTTATAAAATATAAGCTATTCTATTATTAAAATTTGATTTAATATTTGTTATAATAGTGAAGAATAACTGGAACCAATGATAAGACACTTTCCAAACTATTAATATCGTGTACTTAATTTTTAATAAACAACAAATTGATTGCTTATATCATAATTTCCTACACAATCTATCAGTAGGCTTTAAATAAATAAAATCAATCAATACATGCAATAAATAAAAGTAAACTTTGTATTATAAACTGAAAGTAAGTGTAGAAACTGTCATTTTAAATCTGAATAATGTGGTCATTATTTGTATTCATTACAATTGTATTGAATTTTGGTAAGAATTATCATAAATGTCAACTAAAAGTTTTAACTTAAAACTTATTTTGAATAGTGAGTGCCAGCAATGTATGCGTTCACCGAGACTATGGAAAGGGTGGGACAGTATGTGTTTGTAATACCACTCATTGCGATACTTTCGATGATATAATCAAAACTTCAGTCGGAATTATAACTCGTTATGAAAGTAGTAAAAGCGGTAAAAGATTTGAGAAACAAACTTTCAAATTCAGTAATGAAAGTTTTTATGAGTTGCAAAGTGGAGGCAAAACAGTTACAATCAATAGAAACAAAAAATATCAACAGATTATCGGTTTTGGCGGCGCTTTCACAGACGCCGCAACCATTAATATATTGAGTTTGAAACCGGAATTGTCTCAACAAATTATTAGCGATTATTACTCGCAAAATGGTTTAAATTATAGCATAGGAAGGATTCCCATCGCTGGCAGTGACTTCTCCACCAGACTATACACTTATGATGACATCAATGAAGACTTAGAACTTAAAAACTTTAGTCTCGCCGACGAAGACTTGAAATACAAAGTATAGATCACTAAACATTGTCTTAAACAATATATTCATATAATAACTCCTTATTAGATCCCATTAATAAAAAGAGCACTTAGTTTAAAACCGCATTTAAAACTATTTGGTAGTCCATGGAGTGCGCCGGCCTGGATGAAAGACAACCATAACTTGACGGGTAAGGGAACTCTTAAGGGAATTCCTGGTGGACCTTACTATAAGGCCTGGGCACAATATTTTATTAAGTGAGAGCATACGAGTATATTTATAATTTTAAAAGAAAATTGATTTTGACATAAAATTTCATAGGTTTCTGGACGCTTATAAAAGTAATGGGATTGAGTTGTGGGGCCTAACCGTTCAAAATGAGCCAAACGACGGGGAAATACCAATGTTTTCATTCAATTGTATGGGATTTACAGCCCAACAGGAAAGGGACTTCATTGCCAAAGATCTGGGACCAGCTCTGGCTGCAGCCGACTATGGCGTCGATAAACTAAATCTAATGATTTTTGACGACCAAAGGATTTCTCTCAACAAATGGGCGAATGTTATACTCAATGACAGCTCGAGTGCTAAATATGTGTCGGGAATAGCTTTTCATTGGTATTTGAATTCATTGAGTCCTCTCATGGATTTGGATAAAACACACCAACAGTTTCCAAATGTGTTTCTATTATCTACCGAAGCGTGTGAGGGGTCCAACCCTTTTGTTACGGACAAGGTTTCACTTGGCAATTGGGATCGGGCGCAGGCATACGCCTACGATATAATTACCGTATAAAACATTTATTATATAAAAATGCATTTCTATTGATATACTACTGAACACATGATTAGGATTTACAACACTTTACCGCCGGTTGGGTTGACTGGAACCTGGCGTTGGATGAGACGGGAGGTCCAAATTGGGTGAAAAACTTTGTGGACGCGCCTATAATCGTGAACTCGAGTGCCCAGGAGTACTACAAACAGCCGATGTATTACTCTTTGGCTCATTTCACCAAATTCTTGCCCTCACACTCACTAAGAGTCCATTCGGACGATACCGGCGCTCATATATTAGAGACAGTAGTCTTTGAAACCCCAGATAAGGCAACAATTCTCATAGCACTCAA